ATTGATGCTTTTGGAAAGACCTAGGCGAGGTCGAAAATGTAGTCCACCCTGGATGAGAAAAGCTTTTGGGAAAGCAAGGCTATGCGAAATCAAATAGAGACCTTAGCTCCACTCATATCATTGTGGGAAAATTAACGATATGTCCTTCATCACTTTAAATCAAATAGGATGAACACAGCTCATATTTCCTAATTGATTAAGCTATCGAAAAATATCTCTTAATCAATATTATGTATTTTTACTTGTCCATCATCAGTGCACAACCGATTGCTTAGTCAGTAAGAAAACATATGCAGACGTTACGTAGATGTCAATTAGATGTTTAAATTATCCTTAACATTAAGAAATTAATAATAATCAATCTTAATAGTATTAGAACACAAAATCACATTTATTACATTAGAATCAAAACTATAAAATTGCATTTTAATCTCGATGTCCAGAGTTCCAAACGAACTAAGACTAGTTGAGTTTCTGGAGACAGCCGAATCAAGCCTAAATATCGCTAGGCCAATGGGCCCTGTGGCATAAGCAGATTGGAGGAAATCTATATTGTATTGCCCGTAGAAATAAATGTAATGAAAGAACTTTTACAAAAAGGACAGCTAAAAATATTTGTATAGAATGCACACTTTTCTTCATCTGGTGCGTATCAGCTCAAAAATTAAAGAGCAAAAAGTAGTTACTCGTTTTCAGATCATATGAAAACACAGATTAGGTATGAATGGAATAGATTTAAGGCAGCTAACCATAGTTTCGTTTTTATTATAATGAAAGAAAGTCATCTAAACAAAGGAAAGAGTCTATTATGACCCTGATGTTCGGTTATTCGTCACCCGAGATTGATTCGCTGAGGTTGGAAGAGCTCCCCGGCATACGATACGGATCAGTGGACACAGTTCCCCAAGGAGTGTAACCACCTAAATAAATAGGTAGCAAGAGAATGAAAATAAGCAATGAGTTTAGTGTCAATTAAAGTGGAATAAAAAGTCGAGTCCTCCATTAATAATTGCTAATAATGTATGGTGTTCCAAATCATAGGCTGATTTTTCGTCCTGTTTCGCCAATATACTTATGTTGATTGCTGCATCATGTTATTCGATACACTCCTAGTCAGCAAGCTAAGAAGGAGTGTCGTCATATAAATTCGTCGGTCGGAGTTTTTGACTCAGTTCACACAAAGGCAATAATCCCCACATTTGATTGCCTTTCATATTCATAATCTAATTTTTATGATATTAATTTGCCATCTGCCATTATGACCTGTATATTTCTTTGATTGACTCCCCGGAGTACTCTGTGCCAACTTTTATCAAAGTGAAGTTGTTCGCCTCTATTTGTAAGAATTTCAAATCCGTTAGGTGTAGGCTACTGATAATCAAAGTACTTCCTATTTTGACATTCAGTTTGTAGTTGTGTTGAGAATGGAAATTGAATATTATTCACACATGTAATTTCTTTCTTAATATCTACCTTTAATTGTCGAATTAGAGCGATTGAGGTCAACAACTAAACATTTATTGTGAATTGTATTATTTCCCCAAGTTGGTCCATAAAGTCCAGTTTTTACATGCATTGGTAGTTTCCCAAATACCGTTGAAAATTCTAGGGATAAACCAAGCCCACGACTCGACTGTTATTGGAGAATACTCCTAACAATGTGCGTTCATCCAGACCCCTATGACGATGCGGTCAAGCTGCAAAAATGAAGGAAAACTAATTCTAAAATATATATGAAGCCTAAAAAAGCGTGGCATCCTATTTGATTACAGTCTTTAGTTATATAGTGTTTTCGTAAATTGGCTAAAGCATTAGGGAGACCTTGTGGAACTTACCCATTCCCGTGTCTTCTGGTATAGTATTCGTGATTTTCATCATCGGAACATTGACTTGGCAAATTCAATAACATTCCACCGGTATCGTCAGTTAAAGGCGCCATCGTATGCATAGAATTACAACTTATAAAAGTGACAAGTGAATACAATCCTCTTGACAATTTTTCTATTCAACCGTTGTGGCCTCACTTTTCGACCCTATTTTTTGTTCTATCTTCTAGTACCACATCTCCTCCTCTCAGCCCCATTGGTAGAAATGAGAGAACAGAATTGTGTGAATAAGTGGTTGGGCCATATGAGGTGGAATTGAGATAAATAGATGTGGAAATAGAAGATAGAATAAAAAATAGAGGAGAGGAGAATGCCACAACGGTTGAATATAAAATTGTTTAAGGGGATTGATTTCACTTGTCACCTTTATAAGGTATATGGCTTACGATGACGCCTCTCATTGACGATGCCGGCGGAACGTTTAAGAATGTACCCAGCCAATAGTCAAATGATGGAAAGCATGACTACTATGAACGAGGGACATGGGACAAGGCACATTCGACAAGGTTTCCCTTACGCTCCGACCAAGTTGCGAAAACAAGGACGAACCAACGCAAATTCTAGAAGTTTCGAATTATAAGGTCATGGTCTAATCTTGAGTGGCCGAGCTTGTAATAAAGGTATAATCTAGTTACTCTAAATAAGCAAAGCGAAAAAGAGATTTTCAGTTAACCTGGAGTGAGGGGTTCATCTGTGCGGTTGATTGCAGGAGTCGCCATTCCAGGATTAAAGTTACTTGGTAACGGGGTGCTATCTCCACGTGGTGTCATGCTAGCAGCATGCGGAGTTTGGGAACCGTGCTTTAGGACGTCGGGTTAGATAGTGGGAAGAAGATTAGTATAGATGAAATTCAATTAATAATCAAAAAGAAAATCTTAGAAAAAATAAAAAAAGCTATTTATTCCACAGAAAGAGGAAGTCATAAATAAAACAAAATATTATTTAATAGATCAAAATAGCAAAAAAATCATTGTTTTTAAGATTTATGATTCATCACTGGTCGATTGGCTAATAATTTATTTTTAGGCAATAATATTTTATAAATACTATAGTATTCATGTTCGCAAAGGTTTAATGTGGTAAGAATATACAGTGTCATATCTGCTTGACTCTCGATCCACAGGACTTATTCCATAGAAAAATTATGGACGAAATATAAAAGAATTTTTACATATGGTCTTACACATATTATCCATGTTAATTGATTTAAATCTTCAATTTACAAGATTTTCTGACAAGCAATGACAAATCTCGATAAAAATTCGCCTGAAAAAATTTATGATTCTATCATAAAGGAAAATGCCAAAATAAACATGGCTTACAATTGGAGTTCGCATCTCGCGAACAGAGGTCGGACGTGGCGTAGTGGCGCCGAATTGTGTTTCTATAATACGTCCGGTGCTATCGACCAGGGCGACATTCTCGCGCAGAACATGAACTTTTTTGAATTGAGAGTGTAGCTCGAGAAGCAGATTTGAACCGGTCACATCGCAAACAATTCCAGTGAGCCCTTTAAGAGTACCCTTAAGAATATTGGGCAAATTTATAGGAAAAAATATATAAAATCAATTATAATTGCCCCACAAAAAGTTTTATGGATTAGAGTATAAGTAGGATAATGCGGAAACAAAAAAAATAAAAGCTTCTGGTAGCTATAATAAAATCAAAAGCAAAAGGAAATATTAATTTATTCAAAAAACTGTGAGAGGATTTCTAAAAGGCGCAAAAATTAATTTAACCAAGTTGTAGCTGTTGTTTCATCATAAAATTGAAAATAATATATTTTATAATTGTTGGGCATACTTTCACTTCAAGTGAAAGTGTTTGGTAAAGAGATTCGAAGGCCGATTCCACCAGAAGACGACGACGAATTCCTTTTGACCAGCTGTCGATGGCTTTACTGGAACATTCATGGTGACGCTGTTTCTGTGCTAATCTCCTTCGATTCCAGTGGAAAGGTGCTAAGCTTTCATCCGTCATGTAAAAAACATTATAAGAGCAAGGTATCATCGTCACATCCCAATTTAAGCTAACGAGTCAATAAAACTCACCGGCAAATCCCTAAAATGCGATATATATAGTCTATATCTGGCCTCTGATCAGGTATAAAGTGACTTGGTTAGTTAAAGTCATATGTCAACCTCGAAGCCTGTGAATGCGTCTGTTTGTGTTCGCTTATGCATGAAACACGCAAAGATGGTTTATAGTAACTAGGAGAGCAAAAGCAACGTCTGTTCACGGCCATCAAATTTAGATGACCACTATCTCCCCTCTTAAATATACATGTTATAACCATGACTCCGATTGCGCAAGGTCGAACACAAGTCTGGTTTGTTAAAAAGCCTAATTTTTTGGTTTGGGTCTTAATGCGAGAGGTTAAGTTATATAGAAAAAATGATGGTTCATTTAAATAATTGAAAAACTTACAGACATTTAGTGAAGTGAAAAGTCTTAAGGCCAGACTTAAGGAATCGCTTAATGTTTGTGTAAACAGAGGAGAAATTGAGATGTGGAAAATTAATTTTTCTCTTCAGATGGATGCTAGGACAACTTCGGCCTATGGACTTCAAAAAATACACAAGGAATGAGTCCCTTTGAGATTAATTGTTAATAATAAGGGAACTGTTTATTAGGTAGACAGCCAAGGAAATTGACTAAGCATAAACTCAGGCTTAAGGCTTCTTAATATATCTATAAGCCGCAGATACTTTACATTGAATGATATAGTTTATGAACAAGTACAAGGCCTAGCAATGGGATCTTGCTTGGCTCCC